CTGCATTCATGGTGAAGAGACGATAGGGATTGAGAGAAGAAGCATGCGCATTTTTCGCATCAAATTGTCCTGACCCCACTGGTCGAGAGTGAGCGATTAATTTTCTCATATTCTCTATACTCTTTACCCCGGTGAGGACCTAGATTGCTCGGTCTTAATTCTGATATCTTGAGCTTTGTGCATGAAGTGACTGTTTCGAACAAGTGGTTGAGTCGAGTCTATGTTGGTTGGTGAACAGAAGAGAACTCTTCCTCTGCTCGACTTTATTGCATTCAAATGTCATCTGTGGTGGTTGTCTAGGTTGTCGTTCGAGTTGCCATGTGTTGATGATCGAAAGCCAGTATGATCCACGTGTTTTGTGCCGAAATGATTTGCCCTAAAGCCTACTTGATTGAAATGTTTTGAGCTACCGGGTGTCTGACTTGGTTTGCTTAGGGACAAGCAAACGGTTAAGTGTGGGGGAGTTTGATAGACTGATAATTACACATGTTTTCACCCCTGTTCTGAAACCGTTTGAGATGTGGATTCTAGTGTTTTAAGCCGATTTCACGCTAGGGTGTGTGTTTATGTCATATTTCAGATCCCGGCGTTGAAATCGAGGCGGAGAAACGAGTTCTGGGTCGAAAGGAGCGAAGTTGGGACAAAGTAAGCCGCAGGAGGGAAATACCCGGTCAGGTGGCCAAATACCCGACCGGGTATTCACTACTTTTGGGCGCCCGAGAATCAGAGAGGGGCCGGGCAGAAGGCTAAAATCCCCGGTCGGGGATTATTGGATCAGACCGGGGATTTTCCCTTTACCAAAGCGGCGTGTTTCGATTATACCCGGTCGAAATCCAAAATACCCGACCGGGTATTTCGACCGGGTATCGCGACCAGGCAGCAGATTTAAGGGAAAGGAAGGCCAACATTGAAGGGTTCCGAGTTTTTGAGAGAAAAAGCGATTCCTAGAGAGAGAAGGCGACGAACCAGAGTTCCCAAGTGCCATAGCTTGATCTTCATCACCATTGGAGCCCGGCTTGAGCTTGGAGAAGTGCCGATTAAACGTCCAGGAGCAGAAATCCGTCTTCACAGTATGATTTCCGCGTCTGAATCTGCTTTTGCTTCTTTCTCTATGGAGTAGTTCCCCCATTCATCTGGGTATGGGGAACCCTAGATTTGTATTCTAGGTCTGATTGTATGAACCCAAGTACAGAGTTTGTGAATTGATTATATTCGATTGAGGTTTGAATAATTGAACGACTTGAATCCTGATCAAATTCCTGTTGTTTCTGCTTTGACCTAGAATGAGAATATCTGTCTAGGTTGATAGAGTATCCTTAATCGAAGGTGGCGAATTGGTGACTTTAGTCGAGGAGCCAATTCGCTATTCTGTACCGAATTCAATTCGGTAGTGGAGGTTTGGTTCGCTAGGGCCTCAATCTGTTTACTCCGGTGGAGGTTAGTCGCCCGCTAGAGACTCAGATTGAGAGGGTCTGAAGACCTTTAGTCGAGACTTCAGACTAATTAAGAACCTTCCGCAGTATAACTTTCATGAAAACTGAACTTGGTAAATTGCAATCCGACTTAACTGCAGTCTAGGGGGAACCATATCCGGGTGACCTCTCTTTAACTTGCTTTGTGTTTTTATTTGCTTGAATCTGCACTAAAAGTTCACTGCTAGATAACGAGAATTCACCGAGTAGTCATCACATCTAGGACCCGGGTTGACAATAAAACCGAAACCCGCTATACTACGCTTTAGGAAGTGGTTACACTTGGCCATTTTCTAGAGTGACAGTAGGAGTGAGTCAGGTCTCAAAAGAATTACAAGCGTCAATCCTAAGTTTGATGCATTACATTTCCCTGTGCTTTTTCCATATGGAGAAGATGGCTTCCACGTCAAGATACCGTATGATCCAGTACATGTACCGCCAACTTTGAAGCGCAAGTATATAACTCAACGTGAATATTATGCATTTCATTTACAGCATAGGGATGATGAAGGACAAACATTGATGCGTGGAGGAAAAGCTTTGCTGCACTATATAGTTCATGCATTTCCCACAGTTGAACAGAACAAGCTTTATTATTTACGTACTCATCAGGAAGAACTTAGTGCTGAGTTGTATCAAGGTCTCACAGACGCTTTTGACAGAGGTGATGTTACAGGTGATGGTGTTGGCCATGTTGTCCTTCCGTCGTCTTATACCGGCAGTCCTCGGTATATGAAACAGTTGTATTTAGATGCAATGGTTGTTGTTCACCATCATGGCATTCCGGATCTTTTCATCACCTTTACCTGCAATTCTCAGTGGCCCGAAATAACGGAATCGTTTCGTGAACTGTGCGAATCCAAAAGTGAGCTGAAACCACAGATAGTTGCTCGGGTTTTTCGAATGAAACTTAATGCTATTGAGGATGAGCTTACCAGGTCACAATTTTTTGGAAAAACAGTTGCAGGTTTGCCTTACCATTGTCTAAACCGCATGTTTCATCGCTATCATTTTTTATGGAACTACTTTTTTCATGTGCATGCCTTTCGTATATTGCAAACGTCCCTTTGCCCTTCTTTCTGTTATGTTTCAAGTTCATGAAAACTGGACCATACTTACTTTGTTAGTATAGAAATTGACTTCCTGATTCTTAGTAATATTGTTGTTACCAGTTTAGTCTTACCATCTACCGTGTCTGCTATTTATACGAATGTTACAGTTTTATGATCTGCAGTATTTTATCATTGGGTGTAGGTTAATCTGCTTGGTTCATTCATTATGTGTTATCATGTCTTTATTTTCGGTAGTTCTTCCTAATTTCCACTATGTTCCTCTGCCTTTTTTTAACGGACAGGTATCAAAACAGTAGAGTTTCAGAAAAGAGGTCTACCTCACGTTCACATCCTGCTGTGGCTGGATGAGAAGCATAAATTAAATTCGCCTGCTGACATCGATGCGACGATTACTGCTGAATTGCCGGATCGAGAACAAGATCCGCTTTGTTATGAAATGGTGACGAAGTTCATGCTTCATGGTCCGTGTGGTTCTGATAATCCATCCAATGTATGCATGAAAGACGGCTCATGTTCAAAATTCTTTCCCAAATTGTTCAATTCAGAAACAACAACGGATTAATATGGCTACACGGTTTATCGAAGACGAGACACAGGCATATCAGCTCCAAAAGGATCGGCTATACTTGATAATAGGTACATTGTTCCGTATAACAGAAACTTGTTTGTCCTTTTCCAAACTCATATAAATGTCGAACTTTGCCACCAAGGACGTTTGATTAAGTACCTCTTCAAATATATCACCAAAGGCCCAGATCGTTCTATGGTGGTTGCAGAGAGTCATGATCTGCCCTCTTCTTCCTCAACTGTAACCGGACCCCCTCCACCAATTGACGAGATAAAACAGTACTTGGACAGCAGAAGTTTGTCATCATATGAAGCAGCCTAGTGTATCTTTGAGTTCCCTATCCACGAGAGAACACTGCCTGTGCAGCGCTTATGTGTGCATCTTGAAGGGAAGCATCACGTTCCTTATAGAAAGAAACAGAGACTATCACCGATTCTTGCACGCGATGCTGTTTCAGAGACTACTCTCACACAGTGGTTTTCTCTTAACCAACGGGACCCAGGTGCGCGTTCCTTACTCTATGCAGAGACCCCAAACAAATATATATGGGATTTGAAGAAAAAAAACTGGACTCAAAGGAAGAAGGGCTTTGCAATTGGTCGTATTGTTTATATTCATCCAGGCTGTGGAGATACTTTTTACCTCAGGCAACTTCTGACCAAGATTCGTGGGGCCCTTAGTTTTGCTTATCTACGTACAGTTAATGGATTTCTGTGTCGCACGTATCAGGCTGCTTGTCAACGCCTCGGTTTATTATCAAATGATGATGAATGGTTGCTTGTTATCAAAGAGGTTAGTCAGTGGGGCATGTGTCGACTTCTCAGATATCTATTCGTCACAATGCTCATGCTCTGTGAACTGTCTGATCCACTAGGTCTTTTTGATAAGACATGGGAACTGTTTTCGGATGATATAACATATCAATGCCAGCGAGATGTTAGTTTCAACAACAATCTTATTCCACCAGAGTTGCCTAAAAATAAGCTATTGTGGGAACTGCAACGAATGCTAGATGGATATTCAGCAACTCTCTCACATTTTAACCTCCCACTCCCAACAGCTGACCCTCCACTACATGACTTGCGACCGCCTCCTGCACATGAAACGTGTAGTCCTGTTCTGCCGGACGTTGACTCCGCAATTCCTGTTCTCACTAGCTTGAACGAACAGCAGGCACTAGCGTTCCAAACTGTCATAAATTTTGTTTTCCCTACTCAGACCAGATCTTCAAGTTTCTTTTTCCTTCATGGTCATGGAGGCACTGGTAAAACGTTCCTCTATAGAACAATTCTTGGTCATCTCAAGGAACTTGGCAAAATTGTTCTTGTCGTTGCTTCTTCGGGAATTGTTGCTACCTTGCTCCCTGATGCAACCACAGCTCATTCCCGGTTCAAGATCCCCCTGGAAATTGACCATGGTTCTTCTTGCAATACAAAAAAAGGTACGGCACTTGCCGAGTTGATAGCTGGTGCATCTCTCATTATATGGGATGAAGCCCCCATGGTTCATCGGTTGTCTTTTGAGCCAGTTGATCGCGCTTTATGTGACATTATGAATGTCCCTTTGACCGGTGACCAGTATAGACCATTTGGAGGAAAAACAGTTCTACTTGGGGGAGACTTTCTGCAGACTTTACCAATTGTGGCTGATGTTGGGAGAGAAGAAAGTGTTGATGCATCCCTTACACGCTCTTACTTGTGGCATTTGTGCACTGTGCTACACCTAACTCAGAACATGTGTGTTACTTCTGATGCTGCAAACCAGAGGTGAGTTTTTGGTGGCTAGACCTTTGCAGAATGGACTCTTTCTGTTGGTGATGGAACTGTTCGAGCCAAATATTTTCCCGATAAACAACCACCTGATTGAATAGAAATTCCGGAATCCTTTATGATCCAATCTACAGATACGCCCATCGAGAAGATGACTTCTGAAATATATTCTGATTTCCCTCAAAGGTTTCACAACGCTTCATATTTGACTGAAAGATCCATCGTGACTCCGACAAACAGCAACGTCATAGAGATTAATACTCATATGCTTTCTTTGGTACCAGGCCCCATACAGACTTATTTCAGCAGTGACACATTGCATACTGATGCAACCGATGCAGGACGAATTGAAGCCGAATATCCTACAGAATTCCTTAACACCCTGTCTTTCAACGGCTATCCAGAGCATCAGATTGACCTCAAGGTCTTTACACCAATCATGTTGTTAAGGAATCTGAACTCAGCTATAGGTTTGTGCAATGGTACACGCTTGATGATTGTCTACTTGGGTCACTATGTTATTAAAGGTCTCATAATGGGAGGTACATTTAATGGGAAGACTGTGGCTATTCCCAGAGTTGTCCTTAACATCAACGACAGTCGTTGGCCATTTGTGCTTAAACGACGGCAATTCCTGGTTCGCCTCTGCTACGGCATGATCATCAATAAAAGCCAAGGACAAACATTACAGAGTGTTGGTGTTTACTTACCGAAACCTGTCTTTAGTCATGGTCAACTTTATGTTGTTGTATCTCGAGTCCGGACAGCTGCAGGTCTGCGGTTCCTCATTGTTAATGAACCAAACATCCCCTCAAACTACACTCGCAACATAGTGTACCATGAGGCATTTAGTGGTCTTGGAAACACAACAGAGGTCACCACATCGCCGCTGTAATTGTATGTTTCGACCCTCCCAATAATTTTATCCCATTTTATTTTGACCGCAACTTACATTTTGTCATGTTCTTTGCAGTGAACTTGTTACTCACCTTATCATCACTTCGATTTCATTTATGGTATGCTACATAGTAGAACAGGTCAGGAACCCTCCTTCTATATTCTCATCTTATTTAATTTGTACCCCTAAACCCCGCTACAGTCCCACCTACCAAGCTTCTTACTTTTGCAGCGTTGGCTTATCAGAACTTGAAACCTGTTTTTGTGTGTTCGTGCCCTGCTGTTCATACATTTGCCACTCTCACCTTTGTCGCTATTCGCCCTTCTGCAGTTTGTTATGCAAATATCCTGAATGATACAAAAATTGCAGTTCACATGACTTCCCAAGCCAGATGTTTGTTTCAGACATATTTGGTTGCTTACCTATGACTTCTTTTTTTTATATATGATAATTAAAGCTCTGTTCTTGTGTACAGATCACTCTTAATTTGCTTAATTCGTTGGAGTTCCTTATGCTTAGGCCGCGAAAAACAACAGCCTATAGTCATGTCGCTTTAAACATAGAAACAGGGAATGAATCACTTTCCAACGTTCTCTGCTATGTCAATGACATATGGTTGTGTGTTGAATGGTATATCATGTTGCCTTGCTAATTTTTGTTACCGACTTCAAAACTGTCCTCCATGTCTAACGGTGCTTATTCTGCCAAATCCCTTGATGACTATGGATGGTCCTTATGTTCGTCAGAGCCATAGATATACATTACAAATCCATACGCCTCTGATGTTTTTCTACCTTCTACATTGTGTACCGTTTTTAACAGGCCCTCATCCAGACGGCCCAACCATTCCCAATGGCCCAAACTTCTAATAACTATCACCAACCACACCAAACACCACCCTACCTTCATTATCCTACTTCCCTTAGATGTTTCACCGCATTGTCGGTCTACTTCTGCCCCTTCCACCGAAGCTGAGTTCACTGATTCTCTGTGACTAGTGATGACCACCGATTACACACTCGCATGGGCTCAAACAGGTTTGATTCTTGACTTTGTCGACCTACCCTGTACATTACCGCCCCTAATGGATGGTTCTACATCCGTTCCTTTTACGATCTTCTTTCTTAAATGTAGATCTATCGGCTACGCCTCTGGTACTTTGCTCGCTCCATCTTGGTCACAACGTTGGCCCCATCATTCTCCGTCTACTCAATCAATGGATCGAGAAAGAACAGACTGATACCTCGGAGCCTACCACATTTCACACACTCTGGATTGACAAAAATGTATGACTATCTTTGGATCTATGTATTTAGGTCTACATGTCATTAATATCTCTTTAATTTTTGCTTTTTTAGGAAGATTTAATCGAGGGGTTTGAGTGCCTTACCCTCACGCATTCCGAAACCTCTTCTTTGGTAATCGATCGCATATATCTACTTCCTTGGGTATCAACGATTGAAAGAAGACCCTTGAATCGAATCATAGTAGGCCACTACACGCATACACCAACGACCATCCTGCTGGAACTCAACGAATTTCCACCCTATCCATGGTTTCCACAAAAAGGATTTAATTCAATACCATTCTCTGAGCTGGGCCAATTCGCGAACTTAAAGGCCGAATATAAAGGTATCTACTTCAGTTTGTCTATTCACTTTGCTAATATTCTTTGACCATTCTGTTACCCCTCCTAGATATCATTGGTCGAGTGCTGAGAATAGCAAAAAACCAAACACGCTCCGGTGATAATTTCTTGATAACTGCAATGCTTCAAGATAGTCAGTGCGTATATCCTCGTGGTTTTCGTTTGCTTCACTTGTACATAAACTTGAGTACTTTGTCACAGCATTTACACTGCCATTTTGTAGTGGAGATACTATTTTCGTGGACTATACTTTAGGTCATCAGGATTTCTCACGGTCATTCATAACAAAACTAGAACAACAAGGACCAGTTGTGTATGCATTAACTGCGATGCGATTCACTGGAAAGAAAGGTTTATGTACACTGTTTTTGTATTGTCTTATTGTCAATCGCCTAAATTTATAACTAATCTGTTACCAACAACTTTTGATCAAGGAGATGGGAGACTATGCTTCACCAACACACAGAGTTCTCGAATCATAGTAGGCCACTACACGCATCGTTTTTGACAACCGAAGGACACATGAGTTATGAAAACAAACTCCTCATGAAATTTACAACTATCTTTTAATCTGCCTTTCCTGATTATTCTGTCGATTTAGTTTCTCGCATATTCATCGGCCTGTCCAGCTTAGTATCAATCCAGGAACAACTCCTGTTTTCGTTCGTGGAAACTTATCTGTCAACACAACGCTTATGAGGTTACTGACAATACTAGAGTCCTCATCCCGGCCATGTGACGTAAACTTATAAACTTAAACTAAACATTTTAAGTGCCACAGACATGTTTGCTAATTCGAGTACCATCTGTGTTTTTTGTTTTCCAAGTTTCATGCTTGGTGCCTCATCAGAATTGATCATGTCCACACAAACAGACCTTTATATTACCATGCAGATCCTGATAGCTGTTCAGACTCGCCGATTTTTTATGGTCCGTATTCTCACAGCTTTCCACATTACACGAATGAGCACGATCAGCTTCACTTATTGTGTGGTGGCTCAATTTCAGATTCAATGTTGCATGCGAGGACATCTCGACTGAATACAAGCTTCACAATATTTACTTCGAAAATGATGCAGCAACTGCGCTCCTTCAACAACCACCTGACTTCTTCACAACAACTGATCGTGAAAAGCAATCAGCAAGTCTGGAATCTGTTAAAGGAAAAATATTAACGGTCGAAATATTTCCAGACTATGACAGGGATTTTTTTGTACCCGTGCTCCGTGTGACCACCATATGGGATCCATTGATGTATACTATCGGAGCTGAATAGAACTCAGTGCCTGACATCGCCACCTTTATCTCCAGTTCTGCACTTTTGGTTCCAAACTATCCTTTGACACATTTAATTCTAGCACCTTTTATAATTCCGTTCTGTAAAATATTTTCTTGATGTTGAAGTCATCTATGGTTAAATATTCTTCTAATTTATTACTCTCAGTCGCATCTAGGAGGTGGAACCACTTTTGACACGAATACGGCAGAATTGCGTACTAATGGATCGCTCACAACCTTCCAAATATTCAAACGATGAGCTTACCATCCTTGCATATAAACGCTTCCTAAGCCATATGCTTGTAACCAATGGGCCCACTACTTATGGGCCATCCAAAACTACCATTTCCAACCCTTCCATGTCGGCCCACAGATTTCCCAGACACAGACCTAGGTTCGTATCTTTCCAGAACACTTACACATTGCCATCTTCAACCAGCTGCTGCGCTCCTTCCCTGTACTCCCAATTCCGCAGTATACAACACTTATGTCGTTCCTTCATCCAGATTCGGCGAGAAAGATCCACGTGACGCCTTACTGAGGTAAATTCCTTCCTTTATTTTTCAACTGCAAATCAGTAGATTTACGTGACCTTGCCAAAACCGCTAAATTCGTTCCCTTTTTCCCCGTTTCTCATATCCAGTTCCATTTTCGAGACCGTATCCTTTCCTTGCCAATACAGATCACCTGCATATACTTGCTTGACATTATGTCCAGAAATTATGTGCTTACATCAAATCCAGACGGTTTGTCCCATCACAAACCCACTGATTCAGAAATATATATATATATATTTAATTTTACAACAAATTAATACTCGCTTTGCTGATGTTATGTGGATGGTGCTGTACGCGCTGGTTCGCATGGGGCTGGGGGTTTGGTGGTTTATGATGGGTTGGGGAGGTTGTGTTTTGTGCAAGGGTTTTGTTATGCAGGTCTGGAGGATCCTTTTCTGGTGGAATTGGTGGCGTTTCGTGATACAATTCAGTGGTGCTCTTTGAAGGGACTAGCTGAAGTGCAATTCTGCGGGGATGCGAAGGTTGTCATTGAGAAAATCCAGAATATGGATGCTCGGGATGTGAAAGGCGAGCGGATTCTTGAAGAAATTCGGAAGCTGCGGCTGCATTACATGCGGTTGGAGATGGCTTTTATTGGCAGGAGTAACAATCGGGTGGCCCATGAGGTGGCTAGGAAGACCCTTTCTTTGTTGCCTGCAGTTGTAGATACATTTGATTTTTTTTCGTTGGTTTGTTTATGAGTTATAAACTGTGCTAGTTGTTTGCCTTGATAATACAATTGATCTATTGGTAAAAAAAAAGTTGTTGTAAGACCCGATTATGACATCCACTGTAATCAGAGACCTCCATGGACCTTCGCTGACCCATCATATCGTCCTGCGTTTGGTTCACACCTGGCTATCTGACAAATTCATGCCAGGAAAGGGACCTCAATTCTTCTACACTCTATGGATGGACCGAGAGGTGAGCCTATACACAATTGTCAAACATTACTTACAAGTCATCTTTGTAGTTCTCGCAACCCTATCACATACTAACCTTTCATGGTCAGACACGGTTAACAGGAAAATTTAATCGAAGGCGTTACAAAGGAATCAGATATTGCCTTTGCGCAGAACTATCTTTCGGTGCAGACATTGTACATCATTGAGGCAGTAACTCTTACTAAGGCATAATGAACTGGCTGAGCTGCTCCTAGTGAGATTCGTCTGCATATTTTTCAGGAAATTAAATTAACAAAAATTGATGAAATTCGGTTCAGAGAAAAATTCCCTGTTGATGCCTTCAAAGATATGGAGTTTGAAGAATTATCACACATGGTCACAGAGACTACTCATCTGGCAGGTAATACTTCAGTAATCAATTCTCTGCAACCTACCTTACCATCCTACCCTTACACGAGCATTCTTCTTCCTTTTCAAATTTGACAGGCTGCATGCTATCCTTTTCAAAACCATTTGAGCATGACAACCGCTCAGTTCTCATCACAGCGATTATAGAGAACACCAGGTTTTCCACTGTAGGCTGGTGTTTTTATCCATGACTAATAAGAT